GAAGAAGAAGAAGAAGAAGAAGAAGAAGAAGAAGAAGAAGAAGAAGAGGTGAACTGGAGAGATGGCTCAGTGCTTGCTCTTTCAGAGGACCCAGGTCCAATTCCCAGCACCGACATGGTAATTCACAATGTCTGTAACTCTAGTTCCAGGGAATCCAATGCCGTCATACAAACATACATGCAGACAAACACCATTGCACATTAAAAAAATTATTTTTAATGATTTAGATGTGTGTCAAAAATCAAGATAAGGATCAATAATTTGAGGCCATATAATGAGTTCTATTCCAGCAAAACTGTTTTAAAGATATCTTTGAAAAGATGTCTTTTTTATTTGTATCAAACTACAAATTTATAATGTTGAAAGCTTGCAGAATATTGCAAGCTTGTAATGTTGCAATAACTCTTTAGTGTGTAAAACTATAATATATAGTAATAATGAGCTGTTTGTTTTGTTGTTTCTCTGTGTAGCTCTGGCTGTCCTGGAACTAGCTCTGTAGACCAGGCTGGCTTTGGACTCAGAGATTGAGCTAAATTTGCTCATTCATTCATTCATTTATTCATTTTTGTTTTGTTTTGTTTTGTTTTGGTTTGGTTTTTCAAGACAGTTTTTCTGTGTAGCCTCAATTGTCCTGGACTTGCTTTGTAGGCCAGGCTGGCCTTGAACTCACAGAGATCTGCCTGCTTTTGCTTCCCCAAGTGCTGGGATTACAGGTGTGCACCACTGTGCCTGCCTGAGCTAAGTTTTTTAGTCTTAAAAAATTATTTTGTGTGTATTGATGTGGGGGACGACCTGCATGCCACAGTGCACTTCTGGAGGTCAGACGATGACTTTGTGGAACTGATTCTCCTTTTGGCCTTTATGTGAGTTTGAGTTTGAACTCAGATCTGCAGGTTTGCTCAGCAAGCAGTTTTCCTACTGAGCCATCGTGATGGCCCCTGTGCCATGTTTTCAAAATGAAGCCCTAGGCTCTGAGACAGATTATTGAAATTTTGATGAAAATTGAGTTGTGGTCATGCATTTCTGTAATTCTGACACTCTTGAGGTAGAGGAAGGAAAGGAGGGTCAGAAGTTGAATCCTCAGTTAGATAGCTTGAGGCCAGCCTGGGGTATATAAGGCCCAGTGTCCAAAATGAAACCAGATATTTCTTATGATACTGACATTTTCATCTATGATACCGGGTAGCCCTGTAGATACTATATTAATTGAAGTAAACCACCTGAAGTCAGATTATGGACAGACTTGCCATAGCGGTTGCTGATACACATGACTATAATGAATATTGACAGATTGCAGAGTGTGCCATCTGCTGTGCTGCATGCTTTGCATTATTTATCTCACTGGGGTCTTTATAACGACCGGAATTGCTAAGTCCTGGCAGCACATGGTGTGCAAATCTATAATTTGAATGGCTTAACCAGCACACACAGCAGTGGGCTTTATAAGCCAGTGTGGACCCATAGAAATGGACTTAAGGCTGCTGTCGTTGTACTTAGGGCATTCATGGTACTTATGTGGTAGTTCTGAAAAACATTATGGAAGTGATTATGAACATTCGAAATTAAGGACAGCAATGAGGATATAATTTTATACTCTTATTTTTATAGTGCTAGAGATCAAATCAGGGCATAGCACATGCTAGGCAAGTGTTCTGTTGCTAAGCCAAGTCCCTGGCCCTGGGGTAGGAATTGGGATTTATCTGTTGGCAGCTGCCTTATTACTTGCCTTCAAAATATTTAGAAAATTTGTGGATTTTGATTTAATTCATAACTAACATTCCATTAATATTTAATCTAAAATACTTAGTTTTTCAATTTCAAGCAATATAGCAACATTTTCTTTTTAATAACATATTCCTATGGATGATATAATGAATTCATTTCCTAAGACTATATAATACTTGACACAGACATCTTGTGGAAGGTATAAAATAGTTTATTAAATAATTCTATAATACTTCAGATTTGAGTATTAATTTTTTTTATTCAGGTTGGTTTGACATCCACAAATGCAGAACTGAGGGGCTTTATAGATCAGAATTTCAGTCCAACAAAAGGTAAGGATTATTGAATGAAAAAGTTCCTGGCTTTAATTTTGTTACAGTTCTTCTATAAAAATACAGTTATATGAATTCCTTTCTATACAATAGTTGCACATACCAAATGAGTCATATGAATGTCAATTATCTCTCTGAGTTTGAAGTTCCTTGTGTACAGCTTTTCTCCATCTCCATCCATAAAAGTCTCAAAGCCTCTTAACCAATGATCTTAGTCCAGGTAACACTGTTAAATCTACTTTTTTGGTGTATGGTAGCACATAGTTCTAATGCTTAGGGAGCTGAGCCAGGGGGTTTGCTGTGAATTTGGAACCAGTGTGGACTTTCTGTTGACTTTCAGGCTAGCCTGGACTATAGGGCAGGTCTTTGCCTCAAAAGCAAAACAAAGCTAGGTGGGAGTTAAGGGGCTCAATGGGCCCCCTCTTCTCATTGTATGTAGGTATTGGCTGATACAGGAAACAAGGATATTTTCTTCAGTGGTGTAACGACTGGTAAGGTGCCTATGCTCCTGAAAGACCTTAGTGCAAGCTATTGGATCACCAAAACCCAAACAAAATCAAACAAAAACATGAAAGTAGAAAGAAGGCTAGTTGGGAAGGGAAGATTAGTGGCAGGTAGGAGGGGGATAAATGAGGGTAACACGAAGACAGATGTGATTGAAATACCTTATGTATTTGTACAGACTGTCATAATGAAGTCCATTATTATGTATAGTTAACATGCTAATAAAACATTTAAAAATTAAAAACTTTTTTCCAGTTTTCTACTTTCAAGTTCTTTAACTTGTAAGAAAATGCAGTAGAAAAATGTAATCTATATAGTTTGTTTGTTTGTTTGTTTGTTTGTCTGAGACAGGGTTTCTCTGTGTAGCCTTGGCTGTCCTGGACTTGCTTTGTAGACCAGGCTGGCCTCAAACTCACAGAGATCCGCCTGCCTCTCCTCCCCGATTGCTGGGGTCAAAGGCTTGCGCCGCCACTGCCCAGCGAGGAGACACACTCTTAGAGCAGACTTGTGGCACTCTGACTCATGTAATGTTTTTGTCCTCTTTTCCATGATGTCCTGAGCCTTGCAGGAGTTGTGCTGAACGTGTATCTACTGAGGCTGGGCACCCTGTAGTTAGTTGTTTTCTGCTCTTTGACCAGTTGTGGTTTTCTGTAATGGACTCTGTGTGCTGCAAAGAGACGCTTCTTTGATGAGAGGTGAGATCTATTCTTATCTGTGGGGATAAGGACAAGTATTTAGAACTTAGTTAGGAATTATGCTCACTTAGTAAAGTGGTGGTTGGAGTTCTAAAGTCCACGATCGCATTAGCCCAAGGTAGTGCTCAGGCTTGAAGACAAGCGCTTTAACCTGCTGAGCCTTTTGACCAGCCACAACAACTCAAATCTTCGTTTCATTTTTTGGGGGGTGTGTGTGTGTTTTTCCTTTGAGTTGGATCTTGCTATATAGTCCAGTCTAGTTTGAAATTTACTACATCACTGTAATAGTTAGAATTCTCTAAGTTTATCTATCCCAGTAATTCTGGAACTGGAGAAGTAACCACAGGATGAGTTCAGGGATCTACTGTGAGTCATACTTTAGCTGGAATTTCATTAATCACCTGACCTCCATAAACCTCTACTTTAACTAGAGGGCCACAATGTTTCTTGGGATCTCCTGGAATCAGCATCAAATTCAGAACCAGTATCCAATAGACCCTGGAAAGCCTGACTGTTTTCTGTCCCCTCAGTGTACAGTTACCCTTCTAAAAGGCCACAGGTCCCTTCGAGAAAAGGACTGGAGAAAGGCTAACAGTAAAACTTTTAGGTATTTTATCAAGGTCCTTCCTCAGGAGAACCTGGTCATCCTTCATTCACAGGGTTCTGGATCTGCAAATTGACTCAAGTCTGGAAATTAGATTCACGGGCCAAGATTCCCTTTTGCCGTGATCTAGTGTAACCTTTCATTTATGTGTCTGAAAATTTTTCCACTTACACAGATCAAACAAAAATTCAGTACACTTCTTATCTATTTCATGCCTGGAAACACCATGACTGATTAGCCAGTCCTAGAGGGCCATATGAGTCATGCCACCATAAAATTCACTGTGCCTGTGCTTACCACAATGGTTAGGCCATATGGACACTGCTTTGTCCTGCCTACTAGGATAACTACCATCACCTTGCCTTTGGTGATTCACCTGGTCCCTGCTAGCTTTAATTTAAGTGGGCCCCAGCTCAATTAAACCCACTATGTTTAATTCATCCAACCAAGCAAAAGTGTCTCCAACCCAAAAGGTTAGGAAAAGGGAAACAACAAAGCTCTTCAAGTGTGTTGGTGACTCTCTCACCTTTTGCATCTTAGAGGGTTAGTGAAGAGCATGTCTTCTGGGCCTTCCCATTGTGGAGGATTAGGTTTTGTTTGTTTGGTTTTAGTTTTTAGAGACAGGGTTTCTCTGTGTAGCCTTATCTATCCTGGACTTGCTTTGTAGACTAGGGGTGGGCCTCAAATTTAAAGAGATCCACCTGCTTCTGCCTCCCTGAGTGCTAGGATTACAGGCGTTTGCCACTGAACCAGTCAAGGATTAGGTTTTATGCATGGAACCCATTCTAGCATCGCAATTTCCGGAGCCTTAAAAATCCCTTCGAAGGTGCACGCCTTTAATCCCAGCACTAAAGAGACAGAGGCAGGTGGATGTCTGTGAGTTCAAAGCCAGCCAGGTCTACAAAGTGAATCCAGAGCAGCCAAAAGGACTCTGTTACACAGAGAAACCATGTTTCAAAAAACAAACAAAAAAATCAACCAACAAACAAAAAAATCCCTTCATCAATTTATGGATATCAGGCATCTCCAATTCCTTTTCAGTAGGCCATCTTTTGACAAACCATTCATCCAAATTTTTGATACCTTTTTTTAGTTGTCCAAGTTTCTGTACTTAGAATCTCTACTCAGAAGGCCCGTATAAATAAAGTTGGCTTGGTCCATTATCCTAAACCCTTAAAATCCATTCCCACACACATTCTCCAGACTTCTGCTTGAATGAATCTAATAGTTGTTCAGGTCACAAGGCTGGATGTCTCAGCTGGTCTTCCCAAAAAAGTAGGCTCTAATGCCAGTAAAGGAATGGACTTGCTAGTGATGGCAAGAGCAAGCAGGTAAGGAGCTGAGGTTTCCTTCTTACATCTCCTTCATACATCTCCAGCAGAAGGTATGGCCTTCTGAAAGACTCAGAAGTGAGTCTTTCCAGCTCAGAAGATCTGGACTAAAGGCATGTCCTTCTACCAAAAATATCCAGATTAGAACTTAGTCTTCTAATAACCATCACAATCACTTGTACTGGCTTTGAACTGATGCTTTTTCTGCTTATGCTTTCTAAGTGATGACTTTACAGGTTGTGTTTAGCTTCATTTCATTTAGGAAATATTTTAATTTTATTTGGGCCACTTGGAGTCTGCCTCATTATGTATGGTTTGGGAGTCAGTCAAAGATGGGCATTTTATGCACAGAAGTTGAAGAATTTCTTCTTATTGCATCTCTCCCATTTTCTATCCCCATTTTTTACCAGACATGTCTATAGTCAGCGACAACATATTTTATATGGAAACTTAGAACCTTGCAAAGTATATAGATGGCTGTTTTTATTTTAGTTAAAAGCAGTAAAACATGGTGAATTTACCTGGTTGATCAATTGTGACCCTGTTGATCTCTCTATAACTTTTCGAAAACCAAAAGAACTTTCTGAAGAATTTCTAGGTTCCACGATGTTGAGGCATTCAGCCTCATGTGTGAGGGATCTCTGCAGACACCATGGCCACAGAGTGATGATCCAAGGAAATCTTGTTCAGCACGACTCAGTAGCTGGTGTTGGTTCAAATTTCTAGTCTGATACTGGGCAGTTTATATTAGTCATATTTAATTACAGTTCAGTTTGAAAAAAGGTTTCCTGGTAGACACAGTCTCGTGCACAATAAAGTTTAAGGCATAGTTACATTGAGGTTTCTTTTGAAAGTACACGTTACCTCTTCCATAGATGGTTCTGTTGCTAGACTACATATGTTCTCTTAAGGGTAAGGGGAAGGATCTGGTGTGGTCTCAGTCATACAGGTAGCTTGGAGGTCACCTAGGCTATTAACTACCTCTGTTTCTGTTTGTAAGAGTCTGGGGAGGGCTAGAGAGATGGCTCAGCAGATAAGAGCACTGTGTGCTCCTCAGGAGGTCCTGAGTTCAATTCCCAGCAACCACATGGTGGCTCACAACCATCCATACTGGAATCTGATGCCCTCTTCTGGCATGCAGGTTCACATGCCGATAGAGCACTCATATACATAAATTAAATAAAACCTTTAAAAAGTCTGGGGAAACCAGATGTGGCCTCAATCATGAGACAGTTTAGAGGTCACCAGGCTATTAACCACATCCATTGCCAGCCTTCTGGGCGGAAAACATGTTCTGTACATCTCTTCCATTGAAGAGACAATCCTGTGTTTAACATTCCTGGTTTCCCTAGTGCTTATTTTTGAGCAAAAGGGCTTTGTCCCCTCTATACTCAAGGACACTAAGTACCTTCCGGTTTCTCAGCTTCTCAGTTTGAGTTCGCTGTTGTTACTATTTTAAACCTTCTTAATATATTCTTGTGTGGGTATATAAACATATACATACATATATACATACGTATGTACATACATTCATACATACACATATATCCATTCTGTGGTTCTGTTCCTCTAGAGAACCTTGTTTAAAACAACCATGTTTTTCTCATCAGTAAATATTGACTTACCATGTGATTCTGTAGTTTTTTTTTTCTAATTGTCACAATGTTTCTTATACTTGAAAATACTAGGAACATATATAATATAATTATAACCATATAAAATGACTACAGAAAAATATTTGAAAAAATAGTTGTTTTACTTTTGTGTATAGGAATTTTATCTTTAAAATTTTATTTTTATGTATTTAAAGTTTATTTATTTAGTGTATGTTCCTGGATGTGTTTGTGCCTTAGCATATTTGTAGAGGTCAAAAGAGAGTCAGTTCTCTTCTTCTACCAGTGGGTCCTGGGGTTGAACTCAGGATGTCAGGTTTAGCAGCATGTTGCCTGGCCAAGCCATCTATTTGATACCCCACCCCCTTGTTAACTGCTTCTATTCCTTTTTCTGTTTTTTTTTTTTTTTTTTTTTTCTTTTTAGTGCTCATTCTTTGAAGTCCTGGCTGGCCTGGCCCTTGCCCTGTAAACCCGAATGGCCCTAGGCTTGCAGTGATCTTCCTGCCATTGCCTACTCTTTGCTGGGATTATAGGCTTGAGCCACCGTCCTTGGCTTCTTTTATTTTGTTTTATTTTTGAGAAAAGAGTTTCACTGGGTGCTGGAGGTGCATACCTTTAATCCTAGCACCTGTGAGTCAGAGGTAGGCTGATCTTACTTAGTTCAAGGCCAGCCTGGTCTACAGAGTGAGTTCCAAGACACAGAGACCGTGTCTCAAGAAAACAAAAAAGAAAGAAGGAAAGAAACAGGTAGAGTCTCTCTGTGTAACCCAGACTGGCTTGAACTGTGCTCCTCTTGATTTAACCTCTAGAGCATGGGGTTAGAGGTACGAGCAAACTATACATGGCTTTTGTTTTTTTAAAATAGCATTTGACCTAGTTAACAGCATATCCATATCTATATCTACTCTTAATTTTAGACTAGTTTTAGGTTTACAGGTTATTAAAATGGTATGAGGGGCTGGCAGGATTGCTCCAAGGCATACCTTGGAGTATGCCTCCAAGCTGCATGGCCTGAGTTTAATCCTCAGAACCCATGTAAAGGTGGAAGGAGAAATTACTGCACAGTTAGGCTTTTATTCTTTCACCTCCACACACTCACTGTAGTATGCATATGCTCTCAGCCACACATCATACACACACAAAAAGTGCTTTAAAAAAATAGTATAGGAGTCATTCAGATGGCTCAGAGGTTAAGAGCACTTGCTGCTCTTGCACAGTATCCAGATACAGCTCCCAGCACCACATGGCATCTTATAACCATCCGTAACTCCAGTTCCACAGAATCCAGTGTCTTCTGCTGATTTGTATGGGGACCATGTACCATTCATATGGAGACAAAACATACATATCTAAATTTTTTTATTAAAACATTCTTTACATAAAATAAAAAATATATTATCTTAGGATTACCATTGCTATGATGAAACACCATGACCAAAACAACTTGGGTAG